TGCGCCCCATGTTCCGGCAGCCTGCGAGCTTCCCGGCCGGGTCCCGGGCTGCCGCCGGGCAGCCCCGCCGCCGCTCCGGGGTGATTCCCAGGTATCGCCGCACTGGGCGTTCTCGTCTCTTTTCCCGCAGCCTGCGCGGTGCAGTCTCCCAGATACGGCTCTGCGCTGCCTTTTGGTGCTGCATTCGCGTTAGAGCGGCTCCATCCCTGCCCGTGGGGGGATACAGCCGGGAGACACGACAAAACCAGCTCTGGGGTGCGAGGTGAGGCCGGGGAGGAACGGGGAAGAGGCAAGGCGCAGCTTGAGAAGGGAGACCTCACCTTGGAGAGGAATGTGCTGTGGGAATGCGCTGTCCTTCCATCACTCTGTGCGACAGAGCGTCTGGGGTTCTTTGGCGGTTTTTTGTTTTGGTTTGGTTTTGCTTCTTTGTGTCCTCAGTTGTGATTCTGCATGAAGTGGTAGGCACAGCAGTCCCAGCCCACCGAGACCCTTCCCAAACTTCATGCTGTCTTTCTGTGGAGGCGTGAGTTGCAAGTAAAGTGCCTGATGTAGAGCCAATAAAAATATTGGCATCCAGCAAAGTTCATGTCCACCTTTTAATTTACCTCTGACAACCTTTTTGGACTGTTGTGTACACATGGTGCAGCTGAATGCTGTGCTCTGTGGCTGTACATACATCACAGGCTTGCTGATGCTCTTTTCCCATAATTTCTGGAGTCCTTATGACAAATGAAGTCCTCTTGGTGTCCAAGAGCAATAGTAAATTAAAACATGACCTAGGACTTTCTTTGCTTTTGTACACGGAAATTCCTTGCTGTAATTTTACATCCATCAAATTACAGCTGTAGGATCAGCACAGCTCTACTAGAGCAGCGGCTTTACTGAGTCTTGGACTAGCTCTAATGTGTAAAATGAGTTTGTTGAGTCTGCTCTGGAGCTTCCTGACCCAGGAGACCTTGCTTTTGCTGCTTTTTATTCCCTGAGACAAAAAGGGGTCTTTTGCTTTGCCCGCACGATGTGTGCTGTGATGTGAGCCACAAGGATGCTGGCTCTTAGGGCAGCTCTTGGTGCTGGAGCCGTGGATGAAGCATTGGCTCTCAGCGTTTGACTGGAAGCTGTGCTTGAAGCACAGAATGGTGGCTACGACGTGGAAGTCATTGCATGGTGGATGGTGCTGGGCTGACATGTCTGTGTGAAGTCCCTCAGATGTGGTAACAGCGAAGCCATCCTGGTCGACCTGGGGGCCTTCCCTGCAGAGGGTTCCCTGGAGCTGCTCCGACAAGGTGAGTCTGGATCGGGGTGCGCCAGGAGTGAGGGGTGGCCGATTCCACATGTCACCAGGGCGTGCTTGTGCGTACACCCACAGCTTGATCACCCCTGTGGCTGTGGGGGTTTCCAAACCGTGGACTTCCACAGCTTGCAAAAAGGGACTGGGTGGGGTATCTTTGTTAGGCACTGAACGGCTTTGCTCTGAGTGTCTGTATTTGACATGAAAAACTTCACCTTTTGAGGGTGCGGAAGCATGTTTGATGTGTTGTCTGCTTTTTAGGAATTCTCCAGAATGTTTGGCTTCAATCTTACAAATGTTAAAAGAAAATGACATGATAAAAAGTCTTTAAAGCTGTGTGTATGTATCTGATACGTGCATCTGATGCTGTCACGCATTCATTTTTAACCTTTTCAACAGAAGATATACATTTGTCTAATGTTTATCTCTATAGCCAAGAGGAAATGGACTTTGATTCTTTCTCCCTTCTCCTTATGAAAAATGTAAGACCTTTTTAACAGCTTTGTTGTAGATAGAGTTTGCTAGGTAGTTTTCCCAGATAAATTCCCTTCTGTTGCAGCTTTGATTTGAAATACATAGGAGCTAGTTCTTCAATAAACAGTCCTGCAAAGCAATACACAGCAATTTTCCCTGGTAATCAAACTGATATTTTTAGCTGTAGACTGCAAGCTGCTGTTGAATTTCCACTACCCTTCAGAGACACTTGTAAACAAGAGCTTTGGTAAAATAAGTTTTGCACAGTAGCGAATTGAACCAGCTGAGCTGAAGGGATCGAGAGTGGCTAATTGCCCTCCTCATGCAGAATGACAGGCACTGAGGTGCACCTTCCCTTGTCTCTGTGCTACCTCCTGTCTGTTTTAAGCAGCTTCATGTGCAAGGGCTTATTGTTCATGATAAATTTCATCCCAGCAAGAGCGGGAAGGGAGGTGCTGGGAAAGTGCTCCCCTCCTCCTGTCAAGATTGCCATTTATATTTTAAATACTTACCATCTCTTAGACAAGTAATTGGAACTGAAGGTCTCCTCCAGAAATCAGAAGAGAGACCTGGACAGAGGAGCTGACTTGATTTTTTTTTTTTTTTTAATCCCCCCCTGCCCTGTAGTTAGTTGTGAAAGTGGTCGGAGACTCTGGAAGCTGTGCAGGGTGAGCTGAGCATCATCCAGCAATGGGTGTTGGGGCAAGAACACTCTGCCTGGAGAACTCCCTTTATTGTGACCGAGCGTGGCCACAGCCTACCTGGCCACTCAGAAGTCCCGTTGATAATCTCTGTACTGACCAGGATGTTGTCTGCTCCCTGGGGCTTGTAATACCAGCTGATATAAGTGCATTGGAAAATGCAGCCTTTCAGGCTGAATTTGCCCCTCCTGCTAAGTGGCAAATGCAGGCTATGACATTAGCAGCAGGCAGTAAATATAGTTAGAGAAATACTGCCATAGGGTGGACAGAAGTGATGGAGAACTGAATGGCTCCCAAATTGTATTGGGACCTCTGATTTCCTTTAAATGTCTTTTAACCCTTTGTCCATTGATTAGTTTTTCTGAGGCTGGAGGGTGACTCTGGAGAGTTTCCAGCACTGAGAATCCTTCATGAGGATGAAATCTGTGCTGCTCAGACAGGGCAAATGTGAGGACTTTGCACCGTCTGAAGCACCTTAGATCTAGGAACCTACCAGGGAGAAAAGTGAACCAAGTTTGAGCTTGACCCCTCGTCCATCATCTGTAGGTGCTCGTTGCATTTCATGTTTGTTTCTGTTTAAGTTATTCCCACCTCGGGGCACACTGTGGGAGTGAAATTGCTTCAGGTGCCATTTTACAGCACAGCAGGGATGTCCCATCCCTCCTGTCCCCCTGAAAGCCTGTGCTACGTGCCATTTTCTAAAGCCTCCATTAAAAAGCAGTTTGACATCTTTGTGTGTGAGGGAAGGGGTGCGGAGCCTGCCTGCCATACAGGGTGGACAGGGTTCTGGCTCTGGGGAGCTGCCGTGCTCTGGCACCTCTGGTCATGAGCCTTACGGAGGACACTGTGCTTTGCTGCTCTTCGTGCTCCCATTCTGGTAAATTCTTTCTTTGCTGCCTGTTGGCCGAATGTGCTCAGCACAGAAACAACTCCTCTGCGTGGCGCCAGTATCTTGTGGCAGGGGGAAACTCCTGTTTGACGGGATGCCTGATGGCTTGGGAGTGCTGTTTCCAAAGGGCTGGGTGCCTCCCAGACCCGCAGTGCCGGTGCCCCAGACCTGTCAGGAAGAGCTTTCTTCCTTGCGGCCAGGTGGAGGAAGGGCGTATGGTTTTGTGATCACTAGCAATGCTTTGCAAAGAGTAGGCAAGTTTCATTTCCATGCTTCAGAGGTGTGAAAGGGAGTGTAGTTACCACTAGGTGTGCACCGGGCAGGTAAGTATTCCTCAGTGATGCGATAGCTGTGTTCCCCGTGGGAGCAGGGAGTGTCCATGGGTCTGCCTGGGAGGTCTTGCACCTGGAGTGGAGCTGCTGCAGTGCTCAGCAGCGCTCCGGCAATGAGAACATTCAGTGCCAGCTGACCTCCTTCCCAGGCACTGGCGCTCAGTACATTCCCGTGGTGACTCAGGCATTGCCAGCGGACCTGCTGCCCACGACTCCGGACTGGCCCAACGCCCCTGCTCATCCCACCTGCCGACGGCCGCACCGGTGGCCCCGCAGAGCCCCTTCCCTGGTGCTGGGTACCAGCAGGGGGAGAGATGGGCTCAGGCAATGCTGCTGCCCAATGCCTCGGCAAGGCCAGGGTGCTACAGCATCAGTACTGGCAGATCTGAGGCTTTACCCTCTACGTAGGTGGGGTTTTTCTTTTGTTTCCAGTAATAATGGGGAGGAAGCTACTCTGTGCATGGCAGCCTGGGCTCAGTTCTTTGCTTTTGTTTCACACCCCTTTATGCTGGGAGGCTCTGCCTGCCTTCTGTATCCGTGGCTTCAAAGTGCTGGCAGGCAGAGCAGGGATATGACCTGAGGCCATTTATCTGCTTGGTGCATCTTTTGCTGATGCAGATCCCGGTACAGAGTAGAGCTGCCTGTTTCTGGTAGGGGCATCTGTGCCAGTGGCTCAAGGGGAGGCCCAGGCCTGGCATTGTGCCTTGCACGTGATCCTTGCCATCTTGGAAAGCTGCTAGAGAGGACTTTTCTGTCCTTTGTGGACCAGCAGGATGCACTGCTGCTGAGAGCCGCAGTGTCTACCACAACCTGCGACATCGCAAAGATCAGTGCTCGCAGGTTCAGCGGTGCCAGGGAGTTGCCCCCCTCTGTGCTGCAGCTCACAACAGGGGAGTTGCATGGCTGCCAGTCCTTTGCCAGGGCTTCTGTCTCTTAAGCGGATGTGCTTTCAAGACAAGAATAACACTGTGAGTTGTAAATCCCCCTCCACCTCCCTCTTTGCCTGTACTCGGCAAACAGTCTGCCTTGGTATGGCCTGTGTGGGAACCTACAGGCTGCGATAACAGATCCTTCTTTAGGGGAACTACCGAGGAATGTTGATGAGATTAGAGAGCTGAAAGGGGCCTAGTTTAGCGATGGCATCTCCATGGATGCTGAGGCTGTCTGTGCCTGGATTCCCAGCGTGTGGCTCCAGGATTGCCATGGCTGCCTCTTCCAAAGTGCAAGAGCAAGTTCTGTCTTGGGAAGAGTTCAATGCCACTTGCACTTTGAGGCAGAGAAAAAATGTGGAGCTGCCCTTTCCGTACCAAAATAGCTCCTCCCATGCTCCCTGTTGAGGCTGGGAGCCTGAAACCAGCATACTTGTGTTCTGCCTCAGCACAAATACGTAGTTAAGCCTAAAAATATGTGCAGCTGGGTCACATTCTCAGGCAGGTCAGTAGCCAGTTGGACAGAAGTTTCAAGAGTTGCAGCAGAAACAGCAGCAGAAATGCTTATGCTTGAGTGGGTGGAGGATGGACCTGAGAAGACATAACATGACATGACAGTCCCCGGGAGGATCATCTCGCTGGGCTGGGC